TACAATATCTAGATACGAGATTTTGTGCATATCATTGTTTCACAATGAGGTCTATCGATTAAAAATATTTTCAATAAAGCGGCACTTTCGGAAGTACCGGAAGTTGACAGCAACTTTCTTATTTTAAATGGGTGGCACCATTTTTTAATACATACTTAAATTCTCTGTAAAATTTTATGAATTTTGATATTAAACACTCTATACCTAACGTTAACCATTTTTGAGGAAAAAAAATTTAATTTTTGGGGGGAAAAACTGTCTGTCAAAAATATGTATATTTATAGCCTAAACGTCAAATTTAGTGATTGCCACAGCCACTGTACCATAAAGAGAAGACATGTGGCTATCTATGTCAAAAATTAAATTGTCCGAATATCATATAATAATGGTGGCAGCTGTCATGGAATTGAGCGATTAAAAAATTATCATAAATCATTTTTTTTCAAATGAAAATTCACTTTTTTATTTCACTGGTGAAAAGGCTTTTGTTACTTTCATTTTTAAAATTTGTTACTTTTTGACTATATGTACAGCTGGTTCCAAAAAAAAATGAATACGACTCTACACATTTTTTTTCGAATATTTGAGCAGTGTATATTTATGTGTTAAGTATTTTGACATGTTAAGGTGATTGTGATATTGTGTAAAACAACTTTGCTTCTGACCTTTGAATAAGAAGACTAAGGAAGGAGCATATAAAAAATCTTAGGTACACCGCGATGGGCCTCAAATATGGCCGACTTTAATTCCGGTTTATCAGTGTCGTTCTAATTTTATTTAAAAAATGTAAAACTATGATGTAGGGTAGACGTGGGGTAGACTCAATAATTTGTTGTTTTATTTTACGTTGTGAATAAATGTTGGTAGTTATTAAAATTGTTATAAAAATATATAATTCTAATAAAAATAGATAAGTTATAATAAGTATTTATTAACACAAACATCCGATACGCTACTGAAGCAGGTAAGTCAAATTAACGTATCTAAATTCTTTGACATCTAATCTTTGACAAGTAATAAATAAAAGCTAAAATGCAAGAAAAATATATAATTTAGTTAATTTAAGTGAATTTCATAAATTATCGGTTTACTACACGTATGTATATTATATAGTCACTTACTAGCGAAAAGTTGTTCCATTATTTCACTCAATTTTTGCCGAGATCTACCGCACGCTACACAACCAATATTTTAGAGTCTTTTTCGATAAATCGCGATAGTGTCACTGTTAATTTAAGTTCTGCCACAATTTCCATCTAGATTTACTACCTTTATACAACTATCAGTAGTAGAATAAATAATAAATAACATAAAATAAGCTCCGTAAAGACTGGCAAATCCACAAAATTTCAAATCAAATTCAAATGTGTCAAATGAATCGTCAAACAGAACTGTCAAGGATCCCCACCCTAGAGAGCTTTTATGGTGGCTTTTCCGCCCACCATGCATGAATACATGGATAGCATTATGCTCCTTCCTTAGTCTTCTTATTCAAAGCTTCTGACAAAGTGGCAAATAAATTTTTCAGAACGTCAGAATCATAGAATATACTGCCCGAAATAATAAAAATGTGTAAAGAGTCGTATTCATTTTTTTTGGAACCAGCTGTACATGTTCCTGTACCTAAAATAAATCGTTTTTAAGTTATTTAAGATTTAGCTTTAAAGCGTATATTTTTCGTGATTTTAACCTGTATGTTACCATGACAGTATATTATCGATCATCATTTCCAAGGTAACTTTGCGCTGTTTTTTTTTCGATCGTACGGTATATTATTAAAATATCAACTATTAGATATCACTAAAGAACGAAAATAACGAGATATATTTATATAAATATACACTTATTAAACTTTTAAGCAGCAGTAGTTATAATATAGGAAATTCAAATAATTAATTTTCTGATAGATGGAAATAAATTGTCTGTCTGTTTGACACTTAATGTCAAAGGAAGCTAGATAAAATCTAGAAAAATATACGTTTTCAAACTAAATCTTAAATAACTTAAAAACGATTTATTTTTGGTATAGGAGTATGTCTAGTTAAAACGTAACGAATTGGAAAACCTTTTCACTAGTGAAATATAAAAAGTGGGTTTCCATTTGGAAAAAAAAAATTATGGTAATTTTTTAATCGCTCAATTCCACGATAGCTACGCCCATTATTATATGACATTTGAACAATTTAATTTTTGAAACAGATAGCCACATGTCTTTTCTTTATGTCACAGGGGCTGTGATAATCACTTAATTTGACTTATAGGCTGTACAAATTTTTTTGACAAGTAGTTTTTTTCGTCCAAAAATTTTAAATATTTTTTTCTTAAAAATGCTTCCAGGGAAATACCGCGACAAAATATAACTTTGTAAATCCTCCAAGATCCGAGGGGCCCCTTCGCTATCTCAGGCCCGTGGCCCCCTTTATACTAAAGACTTCACTGCTCATCATCAGTAATGAAGCTAGAATACAAGTTATGCTGTGCATTAGTTGTAATTTAAAATGTTTATTCAGTAAAAATAAATAATAAAACTATTGAAAAATAACTTAAAAGCTAAAATAAATAAATTCAGTCTCAAAATATATAAAAAATAATAATTATTCGATATTTTAAACAAAGAAAATACCCCTTGATTTAATTTCCTAAATAGAAAATGCCATTGACCATTACTGGGGCCTGATAATTTATAATTAAGTAAATATCTGCTTCCATTTATACTGTTTATAGTTGGCGTATACGTATGGTTTGCATACTCCACCTACAAACTGCTTTATAACTACTGAATAAAAAATTACTTATTAAGATTCGGAGGCCCCCTAAAAGACGGGGCCCGTGGCGGACCGCCCCTTCCGCTCCCCTAGTCCGCCACTACCCCACTGAGTTAATGAATTTCGCGAGAAATATTCAAAAACTGCCCCGTCTGTCCATAACAAAAGACGGTCGATATGTCGAACACCTGTAGTAAAATCTCATGTCTTGGTTGGCTATTTATTTTTATTGTTATTAGATATAGTTTAAATGTGTTGATGTTGGTTAAATATATTTTAAATTGTTATAAAATTCTGCATCTCTCATAGCAAATATTATTTTGGTTTTAATTGATGCTCACAGCTAGAATTTTTTTGCATTACAGCCGGTGCCGTTCAAAGCCTACTTATTTAAAGCATGCGAATTTTTATATACTGTATATCTCGAAGAAGAATCGAGCAAAATACCAAGTGTGTTATATTTTTGGAAAGGTAATCTTAAATTCCTTTCAATAAATTAAAAATATACAGGGTATCCCATATAAAAAATCAAATTTTCTTTACACAGATATTAGTTTTCGTCTATAGAAATCTCCTATAGAAAAGGGTGTTTTCATTTAAAAGCGTCGAATTTGACCCACCCTGTACTGGGTTAGAGAACGTTTAATTTTATTTCTGTTACGGCATGAATTTTTCTACTTATTTCTTTCTAGAGCAGCTAGAGCGACATATTTGAGCTTGTGTAAAACGATATTGAACCTGAATACCAACCTGATAGCGGATTTTTGATGCGTTGACAAAATTAATAAAAATATGAAGTATTAGTGTATTTTGATGAAGCTATTTCGTGTTTCAAAAATGTTTTAAAACACTACTTGGAAACAGCTTCAGTGAGTTAGCAACATTAAAATATGTTTAGCATTGAAAAGTGAAACTTTAACCTCAGTTTTTAAAGCGTTTATCGCTTTTTTGTCACGTGGTCATTAGCGTAACTAGCAATTCATCCTGGGGGGCCTGGGGCTGAGCCCAGGGGGGCCTAGGTCTTTTGTTTTGTTTTTTAAATGAAGAATAATTTAAAAAACACGGTTTTTGGATAAAACGTTTATATGAATTTGTCTATCAGTAAATTTCATAAACTTATGTTATCAAACTGTGTTCCCGTAGATTACTTAAATACCTACAGATTTTCTAAAAAAAATAAAAATTAACACATTTTTTGAACACAACAAAATCATATTAACTAAACAAAACTAGAAAACGTCATTTTTAGTACATCACATGCAAATAAAAATTAATACATAGCCAAGAGTCATAATTCAAGATTTCTCTGGGGGGTGCCCAGCAGTACCTAGGGGGGGGCATCCCTGTAGTTACCCCTATACACGTGGTAACATCCCAATGTATATATCCGATGTAGAAGAGAATGTAGAATGAGTGGGGGGGGGGTTAATCATTTGCGACTTTAACACAGATTCTTCACAGATCTATTGCGTCTCCCTTCCTTGAGTTATAACTCATCATACATCAGGATTTTCCTGTTGTAGGGGGACATGGTTTTTCCCATCCCCCTCTGATAACAGATGTTCTGCCTCCGGGTGTATGTATGTTCGATAAATAATGTACTATTTTTTTGTCCATATTAGTATGATTTCCGGGCTAAAAAATTTAAATTTATTTCGTAAAAATGGCATACATGTACTGGTTGGAACTAAAAATGGATGCCGTCTGTATCTCAGAAACAGCTTATCGTACAACGCGGGGAAAAAATTCTAAAAGTAAATCGGTCAAGAAAAAAAAGAAAATCGCTTGAAATTATTTTCAAGTTTGGAAATTGTCCACCAGGGATCGTATTTGGTAATGAGAAAAGGGAATTTTCTTAAAAATATGCATATACATATGTAATTTTATGGCATTGAGTATTTTGTTCTATTTCATAAAATAAAGTGGTGGAAGAAGCTTAAATAGGTTCTATATTAAGGATAACTATGGGACCGAATTTAGCAAGTTAGCACTGATTTAAAAGAGCTTTTCTTCCTTAATAATTTGAAATATGTATATGTTTTTTGCACTAGTACAAAAACCCTTGAAAAAACACACTCGTAAAAAATTTGACTTTTAATACAGCAGATAGTGTGAAAATAGCTACATTTTGCACGATCGTAGAAAAAAAAAATAGGCGTGGTCGCATAACGATTCGTTATCTAAGGTTGTGAACCACGTGCCGCTACAATAAGATAATTATTATAAGAAAATATATAATAGTTAATAACTTTTATTGATTCAAATAAACAATGTTCGTATTTTTAATTTTTTTTATCTCCTTAGTTAATTGATAGAACGGGATAGAACGCATCATTAATAATTGAAAGAGTGTCGCTATAGATTTCTTCAGTGCTGTTTCCATTTATAATATTGTTAATAATTTCTTCAGCAGCAGAACTGATTAGGCTACTTATGACATCTTCGTATGTATTTATGAAACTAGCTACATTGTCGTTTAGGGCCTCGGTAATCAGTGCACTTAGTTCATCGTTGTTTAGTACTCCAGTTACGCTAAACTAAAATAAAAAAAGTTTTAGGAAACTGTTTTAATAAAATATTTTTATTGTAAACTTACTTTGGCATCATCGACAGTAAAACCAATTGTAACGTTCGAGAAACTAAGACCATTACTTATGTTTGCTTTTCCAGCAAAACTCACATTGGTGTTGGCGATTGTAGTGCTGTAAGAAATATATAGCATTTAAAATGAAATTTACCCAATGAAAATTAAAACTAATTTTGTTACAATTTATGTAATAACCTTTTTTATTCGAAAATTCAATAGTTTTAGCATACGAGAGCCACAAAGTGTACAGGGTGGGCCATTTTGGTTATTTCTATAGGGTATCTAGGAAACCGTGAGAGGTTCTTTTGGGGCACTTTTCTGTGTAGAATGCAGTGGCGTAGTCAGACTTTTTTCGAAAAAAATATTTTTTTTAGATATTAACTATACGTCTGTTATTTTAAATAGAACCTCCTGCATATTTTTAAATTTCCTGATTCAGCTTGGCATTGGCTTCTCGAAAATATAGAACACTCTATATTTATTTTCACTATAAACCTCAACATTTCAAATTTTTCTTAAAATATCCAGTTAGTAGTAGGCCGTGCCGAGTAACAAAGTAAACCGTTGTCATGGTGATCGGGACATACCTTTGATGGATGCGTGACATTTCATTTCAACAGATTGAAGTGTGTGTATTTTAAATAATCAAAAAAATGAGTCAGTTTGAAAATTTTGAGAAATATAATATGTTAGAATGTTATATTGAGTCTAACAAACATAAGCAAATGGCAGCTGATTTATATTTTAAGCGGTATTTTGAACGCGAGCAACCAAACCCAGCCATTTTCAAAAGGTCAGAAAAAAGTTTAATTCTAGCCATCTAGGTCACCTGATATCACTCCCTTGGACTTCTTTCTCTGGGGCTTTCTAAAAAACGAAATTTATCGAAATGTAAATGGAACATTAGAAGAGTTACAAGATAGTTTTGTTGTGGCTTTGCAAAGTGTAATTAACATACGCATTCGAAATGCTGTTAGCGGCGGCGTGCAGAGATTCAACTCCATCTAGATAAGGTGCCAACTCCGTCTAGATAATAATGGGCAGCAGTTTGAACATTTAATGTATCGAAGTAACCTGTTGAGTTTGTATTAAAATATGTTCTTTTGTTTCTGTTACACTTATTTTTTATTTGCTTCGTATTGTTCGAATTTATTTAATTGCTTAATACTAATACATGGATTAATTTGAAAGTAGATATTCGCTTGTTTCCTTTAATACTCGGCATGACCTACCACGAGGAAAGTCGACATCTTTAAATAAATTGGAATGTTAAAGTTAATAGTGAAAATAAATATATAGTGTTATATATTTTAGGGAAGTCCATGCCAAACTGAATCAGGAAATTTAAAAATATACAGGGGGTTGTATTAAAAACACATAAGTGTAGTTAATATCTAAAAAAAATATTTTGTTCGAAAAAAGTCTGACACGCCACTGCATTCTACACAGAAAAGTGCCTTTAGAATATTTAATTCATTTTTGCGTAGTTGTTGAAATAAACAAACTATCGAACATCTTCAAAAAGTATAAAATTTGAGAATCCCCCTGTAGCTTCGAAACCGATCAAGATAGCCACGATCCGTTTGCCCCACTGTGATTTTTTCAAAAAAAGAATCCGAGACTGCTGTATCAAAATTTGAATATTTCTCACGGTTTCCTAGATACCCTATAGAAACAACCAAAATGGTCCACCCCTGTAGGGGAGAATGCCCAACAGCGAGACAGGTCCAACAGTCAGACATTTAATCCCCTTCATTTAAAACGCGTCGAATCCAATTCCCCTTTCGAGAGTAAAACAGTACCTATATACCAACTATTTTGTATCAAATATAGAACCTGCAGTATATATGTCAACTGCACCCAATACAATTTCTGAAGCGAAAAATAATTTTTAACACGTGCGTTTTCTTCAGTCTGTAAGGCCAACACTTAGTTATTTTAATAAATCCATTAGTGGAGAGGTAAGTTTAGAATGGTTTTTTAGAATATACCTCTAAGTTTTTTTGTTCAAGTAGTTTTAGAATAAAATAAATTACAAAATGGCCGACTGGTGTTAATGTCCAGCAGTGAGACAAAATATATTTCCCAACAGTGAGACTGTCCGACAGACAGTGCACCCGTTAAGACTGGGACATAGGTACCTTTTGGGCACTCCTTGGCATTGTTGAACATGTCTATCATGTTATTGATTGTTATATAACAGAGTTTTTCTTTAAGTCGAAGTTACATTAACAACAAAAATCTATGAAACTCTTTTTATTTCGTTAGTTGATTAAGTTAATTATATTTTTAGCACTTGTGTTTATATTTTAAGTTCTTTAAGACAGCTCTACTTTGTTTTATGCTAAACGCAAATACTCTTAACTATTTTTAAGTAATTAATAAATAGTTATTTGTTTAAAACTTCCTCTGTCTTACTGTTAGACCTTAGGGCCCAACAATGAGACAAATGCAATAATAACAATATTGTTAATTTTAAGACATGTTTTTGTCTCAATGAGAGTAGTTAATTAAACATGTTTAGGAGAGAGTTGTTGCCTTTAAAATATACTAAAATCGTTTATTTTGATGAAAAAATAAAATATTTTTTACGGTCTTAAAAAAATGTGTCTCACACTGTTGGGCATTCTCCCCTACTTCAAAACACGGTTTAACCAAAAAAAACATGATTGGACTACAGTTGCCAGACTGATTTCGACATTCGTCATAATCGTTATATGTAATTTAATTTAATATGGTCCAGTAACTCACAGAGATATGGACTAGGTAACTCATTACTATTATAGGAGCTCTAGTGGTATTCAGATTTTATATGATAACGACTTCGAGTAAAATTTCAATATTAATTCTTCAAAATAAAAAAAAACTTCAATTAATTATAGTTATATAGAAAATGTCACTTATTCACAAAAATATTCCATAATTAACAATTGTTTAGCTTGCACTTTCAAATAAGATGGGTTGTTCTTTTGATAGTGCCTATTAGAATAGTAACTGAAATTGTTTCTTAAAAACATCGAAAATAGTCAATTCCATATAGAAACTTGAAGTACCATAAGATCGAAATAAAGTCGAAGTGAGTCTGTTTTGGTGTATTGTGGTGATTTAGTGTTTTATTTTGCTGCGTAACACCAAAGGTTCCAACACCCAACTGTAATATTTAATGAATATATTTTAAGCGATGATGTAAATACTTTTTTGTTTTTTACCTGATTTTACCAGCTCCATAAAATGGCACCAAACTGGCTAGTAGTACATTAATGTCGTATTCCGCCTCAAGAGTTATTTCTGGATTTATGAGGGTCATAGAAGTTTGCAGATTAAATATGTCAGATTTGATATATGTTGCCACCAAGTCTTTAATGCCATATAAATTAAGTTTAGATATTGAGATATTTCCACTAAAAAGAAAAAAAGAACCATTTTTATACTAATTAAGCTCTGAAAGCTTAACGGAATCCATGCCAATTCATTATTTTTGAAAAGAAATGTCCCCTCCCTCGACTTGGACCTACAGGGTCCGGCAATAGTGCGTCGGGCATCTGTAGCTTCTAGAACAAAAAACTTGGGAATTTGGTTTAAGTGTAAACCTAAAGTTTGTCACATTGTAAAATACAGGGGTATCGCAATGGGTCCTAGGCCTCCGATAACAATTGGATCAAAGGAGGTTTGGGATAAGACATGATCCCAAACCCCAGCAGTTAGTTCTACAGGGTGGCTCAAAAAAGTGTGAGTGGATCGGGTTAATCTTTTTTAAATGGAACACCCTGTATATTATTGCATTTTTGGATTCCTTTCAGATCATTTTATATAATCCTAAGATGTCAGTAAATATGTTTCGATAGTTTCAGAGATATTAATAAACAAATAAAAAATATTCATTTTCAGCCTTCTTAATTTTCAGCCTTCTTAAAAAAATATTAAAAATACAGGAACTGTTCTGAAATCAAAACTGTATTAGGTATTTACTTTAGATGGTCTGTACTTACTTTGCTATGAATATCGTAATCTTAAATCACACAGGATGTCCAAAAGTCTACGCCAAACTTTCTAAAATATAAAATAATTTTTCTTCGTTTTTTAAATAGAACGCCCTGTATATTATTTTTTTAATAAATGGAGAATTAAAACACGACCATTAGAGTATTTCAACATTTTTAATGGTTTCGCAGATATTCGCGGTTTTATATTTCATATGGCATTTTCCCATTTCTCTGGTATTTTACCGTTGAAAGAGCCATATGAAATAATACCGCAAGTATCTGCGAAACCGTTTAAAATTTTGAAATACTCTAAATACAAAAAATGTTCATTTTTCAATTCTCCATCTAATAAAAAAGTAATATACAGGGTGTTCGATTTAAAAAAATTAAGAAAAATTATTTTATATTTTAGAAAGTTTGGCAGAGAATTTTGAACACCCTGTACGATTTAAGATTACGATATTTATAGCAAAGTACAGACCATCTAAAGTAAATACATAATATAGTTTCGATTTCAGGACAGTTTTTGTATTTTTAATAATTTTTAAGAAAGGCTGAAAAATGCATATTTTTTATTTATTTATTAATATCTCTGAAGCTATCGAAATATATTTACTCACATCTTAGGATTATATAAAGTGATATGAAAGGAAGCCAAAAATGCAATAATATACAGAGTGTTCCGTTTAAAAAAGATTAACCCGATCCACTCAGTTCTGTAGAAGTTAAAATATTTTCCTGAAATACATCTTAGTACATACTGTTTGTTGGTAGTTTTTGTTAATTAAAGATGTGGACTGTATATTTGGTTTACTATTTATTTTAATATAAATACAATAATAAATCTAGTAATTATATCGAAGAAAAACTTAATTAGTCTAATCTCTTCAGACGACAGAGCTCATATATTCGGTCGTCTTCCCGGTCTTCCTGTCCGCGTGCCATATGGGGTTTAAGGCGCGGTTGTCAGATTTTAAATTAATATAAAGAAAAAAGAAAACTTGGAATTTTAGTAAAAGTTAAATATAGCACTTAACATACACCCGCCTTGAAAGCTTCCTTTCAACAAAAATCAGAAGAATACAAACTAAGTATAAGTAAGTAATTAAGTAGTATAAGTTGTATAAGGGTAAGCTAAATAAAGGTAAATAACTATAACTATACTTAAAATAAAAGGTATAAATAAAAATTAAATGTCTTTAGGTTGAGTCTATTGGTAAAGCACACACTTTACGCACAGGGCGTTGAATTTCACCGGCACATGTCTGGACATCTACCACTCGAACAATTTCGTCACTGCCTGGGTACAATCTGGTAATTCTCCCCAACTTCCACAACAATGGGAGGACCTTCTCGTCGTGGATCAAAACTAAAGTTCCGACTTTCAGTACTTTTGTACCACTGTGCTTCCATTTGGTGTGGACTTGTAGTTCTGATAAGTACTCCTTTCTCCATCGTTGCCAAAAATTTTGGACGATACTTTGTAGCCGTTGGTATTTGTCCATTCGAGTTTCAGAGATATGAGAAACGTCTGGATATGGAAGTGACGTCAAAGCTTTGCCAATTAAAAAATGTCCAGGAGTGAGTGCATTTAAATCGGTAGGATCGTGGGAAAGCGGAGTTAAAGGGCGAGAATTTAGGATACTCTCGATCTGGATAATTATTGTATTGAATTCTTCAAAATTTAATGAAGCGTTCCCGACTATACGTTTAAAATGAAATTTTGCACTCTTGATACCCGCCTCCCAGATGCCGCCAAAGTTAGGTGATCGAGCAGGAATGAATTGCCATTTTATCATATCCGATGAACGAGCGTCCGCAATGATATCTTTATTGTTACCCAGAAATTCGTATAGGTCTCTGATTTCACGCTTAGCGCCTACAAAGTTTGTAGCGTTATCCGACCATATACTAGCAGGTTTGCCGCGTCTCCCGATAAACCTATTTACAGATGCCAAAAACGCCCCAGTGGTTAAATCAGTGACCATTTCGAGGTGGATGGCTTTGGTACAGAGACAAATAAACAAACATAAATAAAGCTTTATTTCTTTTGCGCCGCGAGTTAGCCTATCTTTTATTAGAAATGGTCCGGCATAGTCAACTCCCACATTTGTAAAAATCGATGTTTCATTAATCCTTACGTCAGGCAAAACCATTATGTTTGGTTTTAGATCTGCAATTATAAAATCGAAAAATATAGCTTAAAACTCGGATTATTTTAGTTAAAGATGAAAATCGATTTAATAAATTTTGAATAAAAATTAAACTTTCATTCTCGATGAGAACATGGGATAAAATTACTTTTTGTTCGGGTATTTCGGAATTAATACTGACTTCTTTTACATCCCATTTTGAATTGTGCCGTTTAAGCCAGTCTGGTCCGTGCCACCAAAGGTCGGAATTTTCGTGTGTCGGAATCGAATCATGTGTTCTAACATGGTGCCATTCATTTATTTCGGTTAGAGCTTGAATTTCACTGACCCTGTTGGCAACGAACGTTTTCCACTTACCTGGCTCACCCTGTATCCAATTTAAGGTGACCATTGAATCGGTCCAAAAATATTTATTATTAAAACTAATTTTAAGCGATTCTTGAATTTTCCTTGCTAAGTGCGCTAAAGTGACTGCACTACATAATTCCAGTCTAGGAAGAGTTATGGTTATAATTGGCGCTACGCAGGACTTTGCACACAACAAATGCGACATATACTCCCGTTCTGAGACTTAACAACGAATATAAAAACACCCGCCATAAGCTTTCTCACTGGAATCGCAAAACCCATGAAGTTCAAAACTTATGCATGTTGATATCACAGCTTGACGTGGTATTTTAAGATTATTAATTTCCGTTAATTCGTTTTGAAATCTGAGCCAATCTGTTTTAAAAGTTTGAGGCAGTTCTTCATCCCATTCAACTTTCATTTTCCATAGCTCTTGCATAAATAATTTGGCAACTATATTAATCGGTTGTAATAAGCCTAGGGGATCATAGATTTGACAAATTACTGATAAGACTAATCTTTTGGTTATTGGTTTTCGGGTACTGAACTTGGAACTTGGAACAAAATATTGAATTAGATCAAGATTTGAGTTCCAAATAATTCCTAATGTTTCATTTGATTCACCTTCGTTTATTTTTAAAACAGCGACAGCCAAATTATTATCTACATCAAAACTATTTAAAAGTTGGGAATCATTACATAACCATTTCCGCAATGGAAATCCTGAATCGCCTAGAATTTTGGAAACTTCAGTTTGAATTTTTAAAATTTCTTGTTTTGTATTAGCGCCTGTTAATAAATCGTCTACAAAAAAATCATTCTTTATTATATGGCTAGCCCCTGGAAATTTCTGCGCGTTTTCGTTTGCTAGTTGAATTAAACAACGTATAGCTAGAAATGGTGCCGCTGTGAACCCATAAACTACACGGTTAATTTTAAAACACTTGACTTTTTCAGACGCATCATTTCTCCAAAATATTTTTTGGTATTCGCAAACCGATTCTCTTACTTTAATTTGCCGATACATCTTTGAGATGTCCGCGGAAATGACATACCGATATTGCCGAAACCTTAATAATATTGAAAATACATATAGGTATCATTTTGAAGGACTGGCCCTGTAAATTGGACGTCGTTTAAACTTACTCCGGAATCTGTTTTTTGCGAAGCATTAAACACAACTCTACATTTTGTGATCAAACTATTGTCTTTTATAACGGCGTGGTGCGGTAAGTAGTAACTGTTAGAGGGTATTTTAGGTTCAACATCTTGAATCGCCGTCATATTTTCAAATTCGTTCATAAATTTTATATATTCATGTTTCAAGGCTACGTTTTTATCTAACCTACGTTCAAGAGAATAAAACCGGCTGAGAGCGATATCACGTGACTTTCCTAGGGTCTCTAGTGACTTTTTGAATGGTATGCTAACTACAAACCTGCCTTCGCTATCACGCGTAACAGTATTTTCAAAATAATTCTCACAGTATTGTTCTTCTCGAGAAAAAATATTTTTAGGATTTACCTCTTCGATTTCCCAGAATTTACTAATTTTTGTCTCTAATAAGCCTAATCCCACATTTAAGCACGATACGGACATAAAATTTTCATTTTTACCGTCCGGTGTATACGTCATGTTTCCGCCTAACATCCAACCTAAACGCGTGTTTTGTAGAATAGGCATATTTGAACCGAGTTGTTTTTGCTCTGGAAGAAGTATAGAATAAAATACCGGTATACCCAGTAATATGTCAATGTCGCTTGAAATGTTGAATTTTGGATCTGCGAGACATAAATTTTGATTTAGAGGTATAATGTTTTTATTAAATGATTTTAGTGGAAGCCTATCGGTTATGTTGTGTATCACTAGAAAATTTGAGTCTTGACTATAGTCATTTAGTCGCGACATAATCGTAAT